AAGGAAAATATGAAAACAAAAGTCTTCAATCTTCCAGTCTTCACATCAATTTCTTCAAGGGTCGTACCAATTTCATCACCAAATTCTTCACTTGAAGAAATCCATTTTTAGGGGTCGTCTTTCATGTGTTAAACCAAATCTTCAGGGACTCTATCTTCTGTGTATACTCACAAACACATTAGTTCCTCAACCTATTTGTCTTCAATACTCCAAAACCACTAAGGGGGCACTTGATGCACTTAACAGTAGCAAGCACACATAAGCCTCCTTATATCTTCCTCAAAACAGCCACCATACCTACCTCTTATGGCATTTCCATAGCCATTCCGAGATATATGGCCATGCAACTTCCACCGTTGTCATATTGCTTTGCATGATCATATAACTGACATAGTATTTGTGGCTCAACCACCATTCATCATTTTTTATACATGTTATGCTACATCATTGCACATCCTGGTACACCACCAGAGGCATTCATATAGAGTCATATTTTGTTCTATTATCGAGTTGTAATTTTATGTTGTAAGTAAATGGAAGTGTGATGATCATCATATTCATTATTAGAGCATTGTCCCAAGTGAGGAAATAAAAAAAGAGGCCAAAAAGAGCCCAACAAAGAAAAGGAAAAAGAAAAAAATGAGAGAAAAAGAGAGAAGGGGTAATGTTACTATGCTTTCCACATTTGTGCTTCAAAGTAGCACCATGTTTTTCATATAGAGAGTCCCCTATGCTTTCATTTTCATATAACTAGTGTGAATTTTTCATTATAGAACTTGGCTTGTATATTCCAATGATAGGCTTCCTCAAATGTCCGAGGTCTTCATGAGCAAGCAAGTTGGATGCATACCCACTTAGTTTCCTTTTTGAGCTTTCATACACTTATAGCTCTTGTGCATCCGTTGCATGACAATCCCTACTCCTTGCATTGACATCAATTGATGGCCATCTCCATATCCCGTTGATTAGCCTTGTCAATGTGAGACTTTCTCCTTATCAATCTCTACCACCCTACTCTATTCCACCCATAGTGCTATATCCATGGCTTGCGCTCATGTATTGCGTGAGTGTTGAAAATGCTGAAACGTGTTAAAAAGTATAAACCAATTGCTTGGCTAACACTGGGGTAGTGCATGATTTATACTTTGTGTTAAGAACATGAAGCGCGACAAGGCTATATGATTTTGTAGGGATAACATTCTTTAGCATTGATATTTTGAAAGGCATAATTGTTTGTTGGTATACCTTATTATTATAGTTTTTATGTCAAACTATAGACTATTGCTTTGAATCACTCGGATCTTAGTATTCATGCCACAAAAGAGAGATTACATGATGAACATGTTAGGTAGCATTCCACATCAAAAATTCTATTTTTATCGTTTACCTACTCAAGGACATACAATAATTAAGCTTGGGGATGCTTGATACGCCTCCAGCGTATCTATAATTTTTAATTGCTCCATGCTATTATAATATCAATCTTGGATGTATTATATGCAATTATATATCATTTTTGGGACTAACCTATTAACTTAGTGACAAGTGCCAGTTGCAGTTTTTTGCCTGTTTTTTGTTTTCCAAAAAGTAAGTACCAAATGAAGTCCAGATGCCACGAAACTTTTTGACGATTTGTTTCTAGACAGAGGAGACACTAAAAGCTTAAGGAGGAAGTTATAAGGCGAAGGAGATGTCCACGAGCCACCAGGGCGTTCCCAGGGGGTAGGCACGCCCTGGTGCCTCGTGGGCCCACCTTTGCCCCGTTTGACCTAATTTTGCCTCTATAAATTCTCTAAAATTGGGAAACCACCAGAGAGCCATCCAAAACCCTTTTTTCGCCGCGACATGCTTCTGTTCTCGTGAGATCACATCTGGAGGCCTTTTCTGGTACTCTGCCGGAGGGAGAATCAATCACGGAGGGGCTCTACATCAACCTTGTTGTCCTTCCGATGATGTCTGACTAGTTTACCACAGAGCTACGGGTCCATAGCTAGTAGTTCGATGGCTTCTTCTCTCTCTTTGATCTTCAATACAATATTCTCCTCGATGTTCTTGAAGATCTATTCGATATAATCACTTTTTTGCGGTGTGTTTGCTGGGATCTGATGAATTATGGGTTTATGATCAGATTATCCATGAATATTATTTGAGTCTTCTCTGAACTCTTTTATGCATGATTATTATAGCTTTGTATTTCTCTCCGATCTATTGATCTGGTTTGGCCAACTAGATTGATTTATCTTGCAATGGGAGATGTGCTTTGTGATGGGTTCGATCTTGCGGTGCTCAATCCTAGTGACAGAAGGGGACATGAAACATATTTGTATTGTTTCCATTAAGGATAAAATGATGGGGTTTATTCAAATTAATTGGATTTACTTTGGCTACATCATGTCATTTTGATTAAGGTGTTACTTCGTTCTTTATGAACATAATACTCTAGGTGCATGTTGTATAGCGGTCGATATGTGGAGTAATAGTAATAGATGCATGCATGAGTCGGTCTACTTGTCTCAGACATGATGCCTATAAACATGATCATTGCCTTTGTATATCGTCATGATTATTCACTTTTCTATCAATTGCCCAACAGTAATTTGTTTACCCACTGTATGCCATGTTCAAGAAAGAATCCTCGAGTGAAAACTATGGCCCCCGGGTCTATCTTTATCATATATTAAAATTCAAAAATACCTTGCTGCAATTTATTTTATTTTATTTTATTTTGTGTTTTGTTTATCTCTCAATCAGTACGAGATTTGATCCTTGCAATTAACCTTCAAGGGATTGACAACCCCTTGTTCGCGCTGGGTGCAAGTATTTGTTATTTTGTGTGTACAAATTACTAACGAGGTGTTGTGTGATTCTCCTACTGAATTGATAACCTTGGTTCTTAACTGAGGGAAATACTTATCTCTGATGTACTGCAACATCCTCTCCTTTTCGGGGAAATCCCAACGTAACTCACAAGTAGTAGTGGTCAGGATGTTGTTGTCAACAAGCGATGTTCGACAACAGTGTTAGTCAGGGGCGGCGCCAGTGTGGGGTCATGTAGGGGAGGCCGCCCTGGGTAAATTTTTCGTACCTAGGGTACCCACCCTACTACTTTGTCTGGTGACACCATGGGAGATAGAGTCAGGAGGTTTCGTCGTAGTCTGTGAGGTCAACTCGAGCAAGAAGATGAGATAGAGAAGATAACGGTTCGTTAGATGGGCCAGCGAGAAAGTCATAGAAAATCATAAAACCGTAGTCAAGGCCCAACAGAATAAGAGCCCATTATTTTCTATAGCCTTTGAGAGTTGATGTTCCCAACTCCTACGATTTCCATCAAGCGATCACTCATCCACGCACGCCGCCTCGCCGAGTCCCACCGATGGCGCTCCATGGAGAGGGGTCCCTCTGTTCGTGCTACTCAGGGTGTCGTACACACGGGAGATGACATCGTCGTCGCCGCCGCCATATGGCCCGCTCAAAATTACAAGCAAGCAAACAATAGCAGGTTCTTCCACTCTCCCCCAATCTTCTACTCTTCCGTTCTAGTAGGTTTCAGTTTCGTCTCACTTGGCCTACTTCCTGAAAATTGGATACTGAAAAGAGAATTGTTGGGATTGAAGACCAGAAAATTGTTGACCATTTCCATGGCATAAGGAACCCTAGTGGCCATATACAAAATCCTCTTCATATAACTATAACTTAGTGGCAAATACTTGTCTTATCTTTTGTTTGACAAGTGTCATTTTTGATAGACACTATTTTAATGTTCCTAGTTCTTGAAATTGAAACTGCTTTGAAAAGTAACCGTGTTCATCGTCTTGTCTGAATGCATACTACTACTTCGCCAGTTACTTGGGTTAACTGTCTTTGTTTGATTGCATTGTGGCTTCAATTTTTTGTTTCCTTTAAATGTTTGCCCCGGGTAACTTCAAATCCTAGATCCGCCACTGGTGTTAGTGATCTAGTGCGGTGGATTTTCAACAGCGGCATGACCTGGCTAGGTCACCGGAGAAGAGGCAGTTGATGCATGGTCCTGGATGATGGTCAGCTCGACATCAGACCTGGACCTACCGTGCAGCGGCATGGATGTTTTTCTTCAGGTTTCCTTTAGGGAGTCATTGAGTTTGGTTTCGGGCAGCGAGGTGCGACAATACCATTGTTTAGGAATTATGTTTTCTTCGTCCCCCCCATTCCGTTGGTGTGTACATCACCGGCAGAGGCGTGTGGAGTCTTGTCTCCGACGGGTCTTTCGGGATCCGGGATCCGGTTGGTTTAGGTTTCCCGTCCATCTGTATGGACGCGGACTGCGTTCATGATCTTTGGAGTTTCTACAGGACCTCATCGGCGTTTTCTTCTACAGGGCGACGATTAGCTTTATAGATCATGGCCGTCGTCGTCTCCTGGTCCGCATCGATAACTTCCTGACCGCTGCTTCCACAAGCTCTTAGGTTATAAAATGTCTGCTCTGCTGAGGCGGAGGCTCGGAGGCGATTGTACTAGGGGCTTCAATAGGCTTAGGCCCACCCTTCAAAAATCATATTTTAGCTAAACATACCATTTAAAAATTATATCGAGGCGCTTTACATACAACAATTCATTGTATATAAAGCGCCTCGATATAATTGTGTCGAATTGTTGTATGTAAAGCGCCTCGATATAATTTTTGGGTTATAAAATTTTTGTATACAATGATTTTTGGATATAATTGTGGCCAATTTTCGCCTCGATATAATTTTTAGGGACCACCAGTAAATCATTGTATATTTTTTTAGGGACCAAAAATTAAAGAATAAGTATTTGGCAGATAAGGCTATTTATTCCAAAAGCATAGGCGGAAAAAGAGCAGGCAAAAACGGTGCGGATCGAACGGCCACGATCCCACCTCAAAAGCCCACACGCCACGCGCTCCATCGCAGGTCGCAACCCATCTTGCGGCTACTACACCCGAACGAGGCCCTCTGCCTAGGGTTCCACCCCCGTCGTCCGATCCGATCCCGTCCCCCACCATGAGCGGCCACCACGACGCCAGCAAGCCCTACCAGCCCCGCCGGGGCCCGGAGCGCCCCCCGCCGCAGCAGCCGGCGGAGGACGAGGAGGCTGCCGCGGCTGCGGCGGCGATGGCCGATGTCGAGGCCGCGGCGGGGGCGATGGAGCAGTACGAGCCGCATCTGGAGCACGGGGAGGAGGAGGAGGAGGAAGAGGAGGAGGGGGAGGAAGAGGGAGAGGAGGAGGGAGAGGAAGGGCATGGGTACGCGTACGATTATGTTACCGGAGAGGCCGTCCCGATGGACGAGGAAGGCGCTGCGGCCGCGGCGCACGCCCACCACGGGGCGGCGGGGCCGCACGGCATGGAGGCGGGCGGCGCACCGCAAGCCCCGTCAAACACGCTCACGCTCTCTTTCCAGGGCGAGGTGTTCGTCTTCGAGTCTGTGTCCGCCGAGAAGGTGCCGCGCTTCTGATCCCTATTTCACTCTCCTGCCCTGATGTACTTTGATTGGATGGATATGAATCCTTTGATTTGGTAATTTATCAGGTGCAAGCGGTTCTCTTATTGCTTGGAGGAAGGGAGCTCGGCCCGGGTATGGGCGTGGGGCCGTCGTCTTCAGCATCATACAGTAAGGTTTAGACCTCTCTTGGTGAGCTGTATCATTTATCCGTTGAGAAGCTTTCGAATTATGTGGTGCTCATGTCATTGTGTGTACCCTGTGATATAGAGGTTGAATTCACATCGGATGGCATCGCTGATGAGGTTCCGCGAAAAGCGCAAGGAAAGGAACTTCGATAAGAAGATCCGCTATTCTGTTAGGAAGGAAGTTGCACATAGGTCAGTGCTAGCTTGGTAACATAAAAGGTAGCTCTGCCCTTTGCATGCTGTGTCATGACTCTATACATACTTTTGTTCACATTTGCAGGATGCAGCGCCATAAAGGTCAGTTCACATCATCAAAAGCAAAGGCCGAAGAAGCCGCAGCTGCGGCTAATTCAGATTGGGGTGCAGTGGAAGGTCGACCTCTTTCTGCGCCTGTGTAAGTCCACAAACTGTTGTACTGATTATATGCAAGCACTTGAAAATTTCTTTTATCCGGATTCCATAAGTTGAGAATGACGATATTTGCATATTGTGAATAAATGATTTCGTTGTAAATCAGTACCGAAGTTAGGTTCGGTGTGATGTCCCCATATGCCTGCGCAGGATAGCCAGGAGCTTGCTGTTATGAACAATGCGTGGTTTAGTGTCTAGTGCAGTTCGCTAGTTGCCTGGCTTCTCGTTGGCTCTATATCACAATCTGGATACTCTTGTGTACAAGGTTGTCCTGTAAGCCCATGATATGATGCTACATAGAACTGAATTCAGTGAATTAAAATGCTAGCTTGAAGACATGCATCTATCATTGTTACCAAGGCTTGCACTCACTATTTTTTGCTATTCGGTTGTTGCTTGCCGAACATTTTGTTGGTATTAGTTGAAGTACCTGTGATCTTTGGATGGCATGAGTTGCTTCTTGAACACTTCTATTTGTACATGTCACTGTTTATCTGTAGCAACAGCTTGCTTCAGAATACAATGTGCCCTAGTTATTGCACATCTAAGTGACTCAATCAAGCATAGAAAAGGAAAAGAAAAAAGAAAGAAAATACCTGCATGAATCTTCGGGTAAAATCATTGGCACAAGACTTCGATGTGCAATACTTAGGGCACATTTAGATGTGCTTTAGCAAAACTGTTTTTGATAATTGTTTCACTATCCAATTCTTTCAGATGCCAGCATTGTGGTATTAGTTCTAACAATACACCTATGATGCGTCGAGGACCGGATGGACCAAGGACTCTGTGCAATGCATGTGGACTCGCTTGGGCAAACAAGGTACTTAAAATTCTTGTGGTATTGTGTTAGTATGTTCATTTACCTTGTTGTTTGTACCAACATCCACAGCACTACCGCAGGCTCTGTTGTTGCACAACCTATATATTGTGAAGAGGTCCTGTCTCCTTTAACATCAATAAGTAACAATCTCTTAGTTGTCTATAGTCCAGCTGTAACAATATATCCTTCTGTACCGTCTATTACATTGGATGCTGGTTCTCTGATATTCTGGGAAGATGGTTTTAACTTTATCAGCAACAATGTGCTTACATCAATACAGGAAAAGTAGTCACAATGTTTGAGTGCCTCATGCCTGACTTTGCATTTACATATTGATATGTTAATGATTCTTCAACGTGTTTCTCCTTCCTAGGGTATGATGAGAGAGGTCAAAGGTCATACACCTTTGAAAGTTGTGCCGCCAGCAACCGATGACGCTGTAAGCACTAATTCTCCCCTTCCATTAGTTTAACAGCCTACCTTATCAGATTTGATGTACTCCCTCCGTTCCAGAATATAAGGTGTATTGTTTTCCATGCAAGTCAACCATTTGAATGTTTGACCAAGATTATAGAATAAAATAACAACGTCTGCAATACCTAATAGATAAAATATGAAACTACTTTTCATGATGGATCAAATGATATAAAATTTCGTATTGTGGATATTGATATATTTTTCTAAAAACTCGGTCAAATATGCGCTCGTTTGACTTTTGAAAAAACAACATATAAAGGAAAGGAACTGAGGGAGTATATAATTTACTATTTTTGTATATTTTCATAACCTGAAGCCGAGATTGTGTACCATTTTCTGAACTGCTAGAAGCTTCTATTTTAAACTCTTGATGAAACTACAACAAATATACATGTCCCTATCAAAATTAGAGGGCTGGAATTTTTTTGAAGTACAAACTTCATATGGTTAGGATTTTCAAAGAATAAAGAGTCTCTTTCTGTATTTTGATTGGTTCAGTTATCTCATTTAAATATAATTCTCATACCCTGCAGCAGAATGGAGTTGCTGAAGCACCCACTGCTGAGCAGCAACATCTCGCACTAGAAGCTGCACCAGAAGCACCAGTAGCTCCTGCTCCTGCTGCCAATGGCCATGATTCATAGCCATCAGGTGGTGGATGCTTCAGAGGACTCTGCGTTTGTCATGGAGTTGCATGCTTAGAAGTTATAATCGGCATAATTTGAACTGGAGGCTTGCAATGTGCGCATTGTGGTGTGGATGTACCGATTGGTCTGACTCTGTTGCCGCATGTGTATATAGAGATAATGGACGTTTTTCGACATGGGTTTTTCTGAGTGTTCATTAGGTTTAAATCTTCTAGAAATGACACTGTTAGCGACAGCAACATCTTCTCCTGTATGGCTGTTTTGCTGCTTTAGAATCGTATGAGATAATCTGTTAGACAAGTGCTTCAGGATGACATTTTTTCATTAATTATACATGGATATGTCTACCAGATAATTTGCGTGTACTTGGTAGCGACTTGGTTGGCTACATGAAGATGTTTAACTTACCATACAAGAAGGTGGCCCATGTTTTGCTATTATTTGATTAAGCTTTTGTGTGTGTGTTATTTTTTAAGAGTAAAGTCTTTAAAACTAAATGCAAAGCTTTCTCTTGCAATTGTGTGAAGTTTACTCCTGCAGAGTTTATTTGCATAGAAAGACGGGAAAGACCATTGATCTTTGCAGTCAATGGGAGAGATTTTGTCTAGGGTATTTTGGTTTTGACGTTCTCTTGTCGTTTGTCTAGATGGCGGAGGCGTCGGTGCAGTGGAATAAGTGTTCCGTCATTGTTGTGGTGTCGTTGGTTTCTATGTTGTCGTGTCCTTGTGGGCATGTTGGGTTTCTGAGATCTGATCCTCGGGGTTGTGAGTGGGGGTATGTTTTCGCCTTAGTTTGCATTGACACCAATCTTTTCAATAACATCCTATCCTACACCTTATTGCTTTGGGTCTCTCCCGACAATAGTTACAACGACTCTGGCTCCAACATTGAGCTAATCTGGTTTCCATTGTTATCAAGGGTGTTCTTGTAAACTCTGACTTGTTTGATACTTCCTCTGTTCATTTAGGAACAGAGGGAGTATATGACTTCTGGCATAAATAAACTAGTCTATCTTGGTTTCTAAAGCGGGCATGAGTTTTTAATCTTCAATTTACCAATGAAACATGTGTTATAAGCTACTAAAAATACGTCATATGATTCATCGCCGAACAAAGTTTGTAAACATATCTAGATTTTTGAATATCTAATAAAATATACGGATGTCCGTCTTATAAGCCCGGATGGAGGTGAACAATGTAATGTCACCGGTCTAGTTGGAAACATCTCAAATGTGCCCCTTGAAAATTTTCTTGATTGATGAAATAAAATCTCGCTTTCACCCGCAAAAAAGAAAAGAAAAGAGAAGTTCTTTACTGTAATATCACCCGCGCTGCTTCCCCCTGTAGTCCTGGGGGTGGTGCTTCCCCACGCGCGTCCGGAGCAAGAGTAACGCTTGGCGCCAAACAACTCCCATTTCCCGCCACCTTCTGCTCTCGATCGCAGGCGAATTCATTGGCGACGACAGATTAACCTTTCGTGTGGTCCGCATTACCTTTTTTCGGGGTGGTGAGAATGCATTGAATAAGGTGACGCTGACTAGACCTGTCCTCCACCCCTTCCTTGCGTACGGCGTAACCATAACTATTTGTGATACCTGCATATTGTGTCAGTCACAAATACTCCCTCCGTTCCTAAATATAAGTCTTTGTAGGGATTGCACTATGGACTACATACGGAGCAAAAGAGTGAATTTGTACTCTAAAATGCATCTATATACATCCGTATGTGGTTCATAGTGAAATCTCTACAAAGACTTATATTTAGGAACGGAGGAAGTACTCCCTCCGTCCGGAAATACTTGTCACCAAAATGAATAAAATGAGATGTATCTAGATGTATTTTAGTTCTAGATACATTCTATTGTGTCCATTTTGATGACAAGTATTTTCGGACGGAGGGAGTATGTTTTATTGAAACTTTTTGCTTCTGCAGACAATCATACACTGATGTTCTGAAATGCTTCTTCGAAGACAAACTATAACATAGCCAACAACTATTTGCTTCAGAAGAGAGATGCCAGAAGATACCCGAACTTATTCCTGATGAAAGTAAGAAAGAAAAACCCTAAGAAGCTGAGACAATGCTCTTCAAATATCATTGATATTGACAATTTTTTGTTCATTAATTATGAAATGTGTTCAACATTATCCTAAAAGGTTTCCATATCTAGATGTTGCTAGTGAGCTCCATGATAGGTGGCAAGGAAATAGACGGTCCTCTATTTCGAAGGAAGATGTGAATCCAGCAAGATGGGAGCAGTTAAAGACGACCTTGCAGTCAGGAAAACATAAGGTTAGTGTTTAATCTCCTGCTGTTATATTCCTTTCTATTGCATATATTTTAACTGCAGTAAGTGTGTGTATACATATACCTTTTGAGATTTAACAGGATGCTTTGTGAACTGTGCAGTACTCATTCTTCAGACTTACAAATTATAGTTGCATCTTGTGACTCAGCTTATCATTTTGAAATGTAGGATGAGTAACTCTAATAAATCATTTTTATGTCTCAGACGCAGGGGCTTCGCAGATGTGTAGAAGAGATTGTCTTCTCATACACGTATCCTAGACTTGACATGGAGGTAAAAGAAAAATCATCACCAATACATTTTGGTAACAAATGAATTATTGATATCTTTTCTGTCCATTAATCAGACTTGATGTTGTATATCAGGTGTCAAAACACATGGACCATTTAGTGAAAGCCCCCTTCTGCATACACCCAAAGACAGGTAAAAAGCCGGATATATTTCTAATTTTAGTTTTCTAATGTATTGAGGCGGCACAATTCCATACATGGAAAAAAGAAACATGGAGCTTATTATCCATTAGAAGTTTCTAATATGACTGTTCCTTGAATGATGCACACTTTTTCGAGAAAACGCAAATGGCTTTTGCGTTTCATTGTATTGGAAAGAGAGGATATTTACATCCTCCTAGGAGGCAGTTTTTACACACACCCAACAGAGGCTCAGTGCACATCCCAGGATGATGGCAAAACGACCCTGAGCCCTTGAGCTCCAGCCTTTGCCCAACATCTGGTCTCGTCTTTAATCCTGTCTACAAGCTCATTCAGCTATGGGTTCACATGGTCGAAAACACACGCATTTCTATGCTTCCAGATCATCCACGGCACCAAAAGTGCCACAGATTTGAGCGCCTTGCGAAGCGCTGGCGGTGTGAATTCCTTTGCGCGCAGCCACCAATTCATGAGCGAGCCGTCGTGCTCGGGCGCCGGCGCCGGCAAGCGCAGCCAAGATAAGACCTCATGCCATGTCTGCTTAGTGAATGGGCATGTGAGCATCAGATGCCCGATCGTCTCCGGTTCCTGATCACACAGAAGGCACCGCGGGTGGTGTTGCAGGCCACGACGTGCAAGTCTCTCCGCGGTCCAGCAGCGATCTTGACATGCCAGCCAGTGGAAGAACTTCACCTTGGGCGGTGCCCAGCTCCTCCAAATGAGCTTCCAGGAGTGGCAGCCCGTCGCACCCTGGAAAGTTGCCCGGTAGCAAGACTGGGCGGTGTAGACGCCGTTGGCTGTCCAGCTCCAGAGCAGCCTATCCGGCTCATTGGACAGCTCGACATGCTGCACTAAGTGCCAGAGCTGAAGGTACTGTCCAATCTCTGGGAGGCCTAGCAGACCATGGATGTCACGCGCCCAGCTGTTGCCGGCCAGGGCCTCCGCCACCGTTCTTGATTTTTGGCGTTGCTTGGGGATGCACTTGAGAAGCATGGGCGCGAGCTCGCGGACGGATTGGCCGCCAAGCCAGCGATCCTCCCAGAACAGGGCTGTCCTGCCGTCTCCAATGGCCATGGTCGTGGAGGCATAAAAGAGCGCGCGCTCCTCCGTCGTAAATTGCAGGTCCAGCCCCTGCCAAGCTCGATTTGTGTCTGTGCGCGTGAGCCATAGCCAGCGCAGCCGAAGCGATAGCCCCGTGCGCTCGAGGTCCCGGATGCCGAGGCCGCCATATTCAAGCGGGCGGCAAACCCTGCGCCAGTTGACGTGGCAATGTCCACCGTGGGCGTCCACGCGGTCGGCCCAAAGAAACCCGCGCTGAATCTTCTCTAATTGCTTCAGGATTTTCTTTGGGGGCGCAAGCGCTAGCAGTTGATGGATCGGTATTGCATTAAGCACCGACTTGACGAGCGCTAGCCGTCCCGCTTTGTTCATCAGCCAAGCTTTCCAGGAAGGGAGCCGGCCCGCCACCGCGTCGACGAGGGGTTGCAGCTGTGCTGCGGATGGGCAGCGAGTGGAGAGCGGGATGCCCAGGTAAGTTACCGGCAGGGCCACGACGGGACACCCGAGCGGCTCCAGCAACCCCTCTCCGTAGTCGCCGGCGTGAAGGACCGTGGTCGAGCTTAGTTCACTCGGAGCCCAGAAGCCGTACCGAACACGTCCAGGATGCCTTTGACAGCGGCAATCTCCTCGGTAGTGGCATGGCAGAAAAGCATCACATCATCGACGTAAAGAGAGATCGCCGGAATGGCTCGTCGGGGATGCAGCTGCTGAAGGATGCTGGTCTGTAGGGCGTGCCGCATCAGCCTCCCAAGGGTGTCCACCGCCAGCACGAAGAGTTGTGGGGAGGTGGAGTCACCTTGTCGTAGGCCGCGGCGGTGCCAGATTGGCGGGCCGGGAACTCCATTGACCATGACCCGCGTGCTTGCCGAGGAGAGCAGAATGGCCAGCCACTCCCGGAATCGGTCCCCAAACCCATACTGGCGCAGCACCTCAAAGAGGAAGGGCCACGAGATGGAGTCGAAGGCGCGTGTGAGGTCAAGCTTGAGCATGATCCTGGGTGCGCCAAGTTGGTGCAGCATCTTGAGGGATTGCCGGACTAGGACGAAGTTGTCATGGAGGCTGCGCCCGGCAATGAATGCGTTTTGGTTGCGGCTTACAAGGGTATCAAGCTTGGGAGCGAGGCGCAATGACAGGACCTTCGAGAAGATCTTGGCCACAATGTGGATCAGGCAGATCGGCCGGTAGTCACCGAGCGTGTG